ATGATAAATCAAACAACAACAAACATATGAAACATATGTATGAACTGCGGTTATGAAACGTATATGTGCACGATCCTTCGCAGTAAAGCACTATTTGAGCAATAGTGAAAATCAGACCTGAAAAAAATTTCAGGCCTGTACGGGATTCGAACCACTGACCTCTGCGATACTAGTGCAGCGCTCTACCAATTGAGCTAACAAGCCAACTGGGAGCAGGCCATCAAATTAATTCGACATAAACCCGTAAATGATAAATCAAACAACAACAAACATATGAAACATATGTATGAACTGCGGTTATGAAACGTATATGTGCACGATCCTTCGCAGTAAAGCACTATTTGAGCAATAGTGAAAATCAGACCTGAAAAAAATTTCAGGCCTGTACGGGATTCGAACCACTGAATACACTGAACCACTATAACCGCAATATATGAACTTCATATATTCATCGCATATGAAATATATTACCGAACATGTTTAAGTGGAGGCAAATTACTGAGTTCAGCACAATTTAAAAGGTCCAAGGTCGGCTTTTTCAAGGGGGTGCAGTAGTTTCCTTTCATTCTACCGTTTATTAAACAGCGATGAATTTATTACTTGGTGTCTTTCACAAGGGCAAGGAACTGATTAATAGAAGCGACCAGGACTATGGTAACGCAAACAAATTCATGTCGGCTTCGTTTTTATTAGCCACAAATAATATTGTGTTCTTCTCATGCAGAGAAACCCAGCCAGGCATCCATCATATCAACAGAAGCAGACGTTCAGGCCAGTTCTTTAACAGTAAGGTGGACTGCACCAGCTGATGATGGAGGGAGTGACACCAAGAAAGACAGTGTTAATATAACTGGTCTTCCTAAAACATATCACACTTTTACGGGTCTGGAAAGAGACACAAACTACACGGTGAAAGTGTTTGCCAGAAATTCTGTATTTGAAGGAGATGCTGCTGTAAAGACATTGAAGACAAACGGTGAGGATTTCCTATTCCATAACGCTCTTGTTGTTGCGCAACTGAGCACTTAAACAATTCATTTTGTTTCTAACTGAGAAACGTGTTATTTTGGATGATGTTAAGGGTGTCACCCTTCAGTGTAAATGATACATATACTTTCGATTGATAGATAGTAATATGAGATTTTAATCGTCTCATATTTTTTAAACTCCATTCAGATATAGCGTATAAATTGATTCATCTGTGCTGCAAATTATTCCTTTGGGTGTAACTGAGAGACATAAAGTCAGCGTGAATGTTTTTAGAATTGATTGTCCATAGCAATGGGAAGGCTGCTATTAACGTCCTCATATTTTGACTCAACCTCTAGTACATTCTGTAATCTAACTCACGTGGCATCTGTAACCTAATACATGGCTATAGGTTTGCAAGTCAAAGATTTTGCTGACTTACCAGTTTCAACCAATCCTTAGCAAGGCCAAAATAAGTACTCCGCGACGCTTTCCCCACATTTTGAAAAACACACTTTTCGTTTGGGATGCTTCTGTGCATTGCCAGATCGCAGATGAGATATTGGCTCTTTAATGCGTGTATAATGCGTGTACCTTAGTGCCAACCGTTTTTCAATTGCGTAAGAAAATGAAAATAAAATTTCATTTTCGGTTTTCGTTTTTCGCTGCGCTGTAAGAAAACGAAATTGGATTTCAATTTTCGTTTTTCGTTTTCGTATGGAATTTGGAGTTTGAAATTTGTTTTGCCGTGAGTTCATTTGTTTGCCGTGAGTTATTCTGCAATGTCGCATCACGTTTTGCTTTAAGTAAATTGATTTTAATTTGACTTGCACCTATGGGCCACCGCATAGAAATCCCTCGTGAAGTAAAGAGTTTTGCCAGAGAATGTCAGCTTCAGTGCCATCGGCGGAAACCGAAAAACGACTTGGCTTGACTTGCAATCCGTTTTCCAAATTCCCGACGAAACAAAAAATGAAAAACGAAAATTGAATTCAAATTCCGTTTTTTTAGAGCGCAGCGAAAAACGAAAAACGAAAATGAAATTTGATTTTCATTTTCCTACGCAACTGAAAAACGGTTGGCACTAAGGTACACGCATTTCTTTAATCTAATTTAATTTAATTTAATTTAATTTATTTTAATTTAATCTAATTTAATTTAATTTAATTTAATTCTTTAATTTCTTTAAGCTGGGCATAAACTACGTTGTTTTATGTAATCGAGAGACAAACAAATGGACGGACGACGATATATAGACGTCATCTATATAACATCAGCCCCTCCACAGTACTAATGTGAGAACCATTCAAAATGGCGGTAGACATTAGCGTATCACATTAATAGACATAGTTAATGGGGTGTATATTTGAATTCCACACCACCATAACTTTAATGGCGTTATATCCTTTCCACTTATTTCTCGTCACCCAAAGCTGCTTTCATTTTACGAACTCCCGTGTTACTAATTGTCAATGTCATAGAGAATAATACATGGGCGCGAGTAGATAAGGAATTTCTCTTCGAGTGTTTAACTCGATAGCCCACAAGTGAACGCAGCCGAATTGAACATACCGAATTGAACATGAAAAGAGAAATTCCATCTGTACGAGCAACCATGTATTATTGTATTCTTTATAGAAACAAAATAGGCCTTTACTGACAAGAAGAGTAGACTTTATTTATGAATGACAAATATAGGATCTACAATCCGCGAAAAATAGTCGTAAAGTACTTAACTTTCGTGTTTTCATTTTTCTGCTTTGATTTTCTTCCACTTCTAGGACATTTTGAGCCTCACTGTCTTTAAGCGATGCGAATTTTTCAGTGTCTTCAGCAGCTATAATCCGAGGAAATCTCGACGAGCGACCTTAAATTGAGAATGGTGGACGCTTAAACATACATGCATCAGCCTGACAGATTGCCATGAAAGGCGAGTGACGTGTCAGTAACCGATTGACGATATCAAACACCCGTGAACAATTATCAAATTTCTTCACATTTGCAGATAGGGCTTTTCTTAAGGCTGGAAATCCTTGTATAACACCGCACTTCATATGTTAAAAAAATTGTATCCGAGTTATCAGGCGAGAATTGATATTTTACAGGTTCAGATAAGGTCGGGTGTTCCTTAGATTCAAATATCATTAAATGCCCAAGTTGCAGATTATCATTTGTCTCTGACTTTGGTTTGCAGCAAGTAAGTGAATAATCATAGCAGAACTCTGACTTTCCTTGTTGTTGTGATTGATCCAGGGCCCCCGGAGGAAGTGAAGATAGACGAGCTTCCCACTGAAACAAAAGACGATACAATTACCCTGAGGTGGAAGGAGCCAGGAAATAATGGAAAAGTTATCTCCCTGTACACTGCGTATCAAAGGACGGTGACTAATGGGAAGGTGGGAGATTGGAAAGAAATAGGGAAAATCACGGATGTGAAAGACAGACAATTAGAGGTGAAGCTGAAGAAAGGAGAGGTGTATGAATTCGCCGTTACTGCTACCAACGCCTTGGGTGAAGGCTTGAAACAAGATGCATCAGAGATCAAGAGAGTTAAAGCAATAGGTAAACTTATTAGTTATTAAAACTTATCATCCTATATAGGTGAGATAAATATTACGTCCAAAACTTGGGTACGCCGGGTAATTGATGTAATTCTTAATTTACCTCAACAGAAATGTCAGTGGCCTTTGTGGGATTTGCAATTAGTTGATTAATAATTGAAAAAAACTCATACTATTCGTGCTATTATGTTTCACTAAGGGATTCCGGAGGCAGTGGAAATATATGGCTTGCCCATTAAAGCAACGGAAGATACAATTACTCTGAAATGGACTAGGCCAAAAGACAATGGAAAGAAAATAACGCAATATATTGTTTACCAGAGAACATTGGCCGATGGGAGAAATTGGACGATGATAAAGGAAATTTCAGATGTTGAAGTCAAAGAATTTGAATTTAAAGTAAAGCTGGAAAGAGGAAAAGTGTATCAATTTGCTGTAACTGCGACTAATGGGGTTGGTGAAAGCTTAAAACCAGATGAAAAAAAGATTCCGCGCATCAAGGCATTAGCAAGTATGTTTAAGTGAATCTTATTTTCCCTTGATAACGATTGCGATGCTCTCCAGTGCTTAACTTTTAATCACCTCTTTGTCGCTAAAGTAGAGTTTTTCAGCCATCGTGTGAGTGTGGGTGTGGTCTGTGTGAATCTTTCTCTCATATCCTGGATCAATAAAAAAGATGTCACTGACCTCAACATGGTGGCCGCCGACGCCCGTTGGCTGATTAACGAAGAGAATCAGTTTGACATGGCTTTGTGCAAATATGACTATCATCTCCTACCGTTTTTAATGCATGATAGGGGAGTGCGAAGAAAACGAGTGAGACATAGTGATTCAGGGGGAAAAAAGGTACCTGTTCATTGGAAAACACAGTAGGTGCTTTTGCCTCAGATTAAGTTTTCGATAAATGGTAGGTTAATTTTTTTTATCACTCATCAAGTACAAGAAAGTGATATGAGTGTTGTACCGGTACCAGGAAACACACAATTGGTCTCGTTTAAATGCCTGCGGGCCAAAAAGACTTACAATACACCTTTCAAAACACTTTATTTTGTTTGGTTTATCGTGATGTGGGCCCAGGTTCCCACAAGGGTTCCCCGGCTGGTGGCGAAAATGGCGTGATGACTGCAATATATTCTGGAGCGGCTGTGGCCGGTGTTCTACTCATTGTTGGAATCATCGTGATCATTGTTCTCTGGAGACGTAGAAGGCCTTCAAGTCCCGATAACGGTATCTTTTTATTCGTAGCAATTCATTTCTATTAAAGGTTGTTTGTGCCTACCGTCTACATAGAGGTAGACATCGTTGGATTGGACATCAATAGAAAGTTACAGATAGCTTTCGTTGCAGACTGCCTACACTGGAAGCATAGTCATTCGGTTTAATTGCTACCAAAAAGCATTTACTGATAGCCCTCGGTTCAAGAAGGATCTGTGTACCGCTTTTTTTTTAAGGCAGGAATTCATACACTGTTTGTGATTGGACATTCATTTACGAAAAAAATGATGCAATATATACTCCATGATGCTAAATATTCACTTAAACTGTTTTACAATATAAGGAAATTTCACTGTAATTCAAAATGCTTAATCTGATTCGTCTGTTGTTTGTAGTTTATGACATGGTGTAATAGAGATGAGTCTCAGAAACTCAGAATCCGAATAATTCCTAAAGATCGATCAAAACAAACGCATGTAGAAAAGTTCTTGCCTTCATAATCCTCCTTCTAATAATTTACACAATCTGGCAACACAGGAAAGATAGGGGACCATTCATTAGTTGTGTTTAAGATGGGCAGATAACTTTTATTATAAAGACAGCATATAAATATTTGGCCCCCGTCCTTATGATTGCTGTTTCTTCCATTTTATTCCAGGCGCAGTAGGGAGGCAGAGGTAAGAATTTTGCTCTAATTAAGAATGTCTGGACACGAAGTAAATGTAATTCTTTGTAATATTCATAACAAAATACCGTCATATCAAATATCATATCATCCTAACCTACAATACGCTAACACTAACAGCATTTATCCATGTCAATTTTCATACATTTTCTTAACTGTAGGACATACGGAGATGAAAGAAATGCTGATGACGTAAGTGGCAAACTAAAACAATGAAATTAAGTTGCTATTTGAAGAAAATACTATTTCAATTCATTTCTTTTTCTGAGATTAAAAAATTGTTTTTAATAACAGAAGGAAGGAGAGGTTCACCAAATGCGCGTCTTTAAACAGGTGGCAGATAAACCGTGGCTGCGAGGTCGTTTCACCGAATAGGGAGTTGTTTTGGATAAGATTTCTCGCCTGTTTTTCCGAGTTAAAATGCTCAGTTGCGCTTCAAAAATTAACGAAAGGGGTTGCTGGTGTCGGTTGCGAGCTTTTTTCTATTTTGCAAGAGAGCTTTTTCCCAAGTGAAGAAATTGCAGCTGTCATTAAGTATGATCACCTCTTGAACTTACAGTTCAAAGTTTCCGCGAAGATGTTGTAAATCTTCATCAGTTTCTTGGGCATAATCAATTTCGGTAACGAAGAGCATACTTTTAATTATCGCTAGAGTAAAAACAGAAGAACAAAGGAATATCTGTTGTAACAGCACAAACTATTTTTCATCGCCTAGAGTGACCTGCTATTGATAATTGAGCGAGTACGTATATTTCCCAGAATGAAATAGAATTAAAAGATCTTCAGTCAAGTCTACCTGATCCAAGCAAACTCACTCAGCCTCCTGGAGAATACATGGATCTCATAGAGGCTGGCAGAGATAACAGAAAAGCACCAAGTGCCGCTGCAGTTGATTACGCGCCTTTTCGTCCATTGACACGGTCTTGGGAAGTTCCAAGAGATCACGTGACCGTAGAAAAAATCATTGGTAAAGGTGCTTTTGGTCAGGTTGCTAAAGGAACAGCGGTTGAACTTCGAGGAAGGCCTGAGGCGACTACAGTGGCCATCAAAATGCTTAAATGTAAGATATTGTTCTGATTTCAGAATAGTAACCTTAGATCAAATTGCGCCTTAGACAGTAATTCGGAAAATGGAACACAGTCAATTGAAAAACAAAATATTCATATGTTGAATTTTCTTTTTTTCATTAGCACCTGGCGAACTCAAACTCCTAGTGGAAAGGAAAAAGGGTTTGAGTTAGTTTGGATCCGAGTTATCACCATTAGTACACAGCCAACAATCACATTTGTTGGTTTTACATGAGCTTTTTGATAAGAACGTGTAGCTTAGAAAGTTCAGCTAAATGTAATCACGTCCATATCAATCGCGATTTAAGATTGGACTTGGCTTTTTGGGTGAAGAGAGGGTTTGAGTTCACCGAATTGGAGTTAGCTGATAATAAATGAAAAATTGGGGTCAAATCCAAGGGAAAACGATGTTTTGGTTGGTTTGGAAAAGAGGACTTCGAGTTCGAGGTTCTAGTGCATTGGCATTTTGAATGTTATTGCAGTCAAGCAATCTTCACCGTTTGCTTTTAACTTTCCAGCTAACGCCACAGAGTCTGACAAGCGAGATATGATGAAAGAACTCGAAACAATGAAGCAGCTGAATCCTCATCCACATGTCATTAAGCTTCTGGGATGTGTTACGGAATCTGGTAAGCTTTGTTTTAGTAGAGGCTGATAGTTTCTAAAGAAACTGTTTGGGGCTGCGTCGGTAGGGGTAACGAAATAATTTGAATATATCAACAAAGTTGAAATGGTAAATTGACCACCGTTACGATTATAAAAGCTGACGTTTCGAGCGTTAGCCCTTCGTCGGAGCGAATTCATTCCCTTCGACCCTTCGTCATTCGCTCCGACGAAGGGCTNTTAGTAGACCATTAAAAACGGCTCACATGATTAGTTTTACTCACATCTCAGAGAAAGCAAGAGCACAAATTTTTGCGTGAGTTTTTGGGGATCGGTACATCATTAACAACCTTTGACATAGATAACCATTTTGAATGTGCTGGTCAGCAGCTTCTTTTCATTTACACCTGTTAAATGTAAGTCACTGAGTATATAATTTGATGCAGATCCACGCAGTACCTTTTTTGTTTGTTGGATTTGTTGAATGCATTTCAAGATATGCAATCATCATTAACAACCTTCGCTCTGATGAAGGGCTAACGCTCGAAACGTCAGCTTTTTTATTCGTTACGGTGACCAATTTACTATTTCAACTTAGTTGATATGACCAAATTATCTTTTCATTTACACCAGTTAAATGTAATTTACTGAGTATATGATTTGATTTAGATCCACGCAGTACCTTTCTTGTTTGTTGGATTTGTTGCATGCAGTTGAAGATATGCAACCATCATTGACAACCTTTGACACAGATAACCATTTTGAATGTGCTGGTCAGCAGCTTCTTTTCATTTACACCTGTTAAATGTAAGTCACTGAGTGTATAATTTGATGCAAATCCACCCAGTTCCTTTTTTGTTTGTTGGATTGTTGCACGGATTTTGTTGGATTGGTTGCATGCAATACCCCTTTTTTTGAAAGCAAAACTTCTTCCACTAGAATTCCAATATTATGAAAAAATCATATACGACATCAATACTACTTCTGCACCATCTAATATTTCGAATTTGTTTTCTAAAATTTCCAGCGTTCACTCTTACGGCACACGTTCATCAATGTCTAAGCATTTTTACACTAAAAAATCTGCGCTTAATGTTCAAAGCGAGGCTTTTTCACGTGTTGGGGATAAAATCTGGAATGGGATACCAACAAATCCCAAAAACTTATCCAAGAACTATTTTAAAAAATCCATTAGAACAAAATTAATCGAAATTCTAGAAACTGAAAACTCCTATGTTGTAATAGATACTCTAATCAATAAGATGAAAGGTTAACTTCTAACTGTAATTATGTTTAGTCTGTAGTCGACTCCTATGTCGGAATAGATACTTTAATTAATACTTGATGAGAGGTTAATTTCTGACTGTAATTATGTTTAGTCTTTAGTCTGTTTAGTCTGTAGTTTTCCTCTTTCCTCTGTCATGTTTTAATTGTATGTGAATATTTATTGCATAAAATCATCTAAAATTACTTTTCAACTGTCTGGCTTGCCGCGACTAGCTCTTCGCTATTTGCAAGCCAGCCTAGTAACAAACCACCTGATATTTACTTGGAAATAAATAAACAAATCAATCAATCAATCAAGAGAACACAATCGTTCCCAATTATCTTCTCTTGGGGAGAAAAATCATCGCTTCGCTATTCATATAACTACGAGAATATTCGACAATTTGAAAACAATAAGTGTTGGGTTAGGTTTATTGCATTAAATACTATCAGTCAAAAAATAGTCTTGAAAGGAATCATTTAATTTGGGATGATGATACAAATAACATTTTATCCTTTCCTCCCTGAGTCAGGCTTTGACTTAATTTAACGTCTTTGTAACTTCTTTGGATAAAACTCGTAGCTGTCAAGCAGCATCTTCATGCTATGTTGTTTGTTTTTGTTGATTCTGCAAGTTGAAATTGAGAGATTTCTTCTAAATTTTGACTGAACACTCTTGGGAGTGAAGGGCCTAATTACAGTTAAATAATTGATTTTTAAAATTAAATTCTTGTTGTAACTGTAATAATTGCAATGAAGTTATCCCAAACTGCAGACTAAGCAGCTGTTTGTCTTTTTCTGCTGGGCTCGCAGCTTCAGTTGCCAAATTCCAAACGCGATTTAAATAATCTGAAACATTTAGCCTACTGAATCGGGGGTGGAAGCGGAATAATGAATAATGAATAACGGCTTGAAAAAGAACATGAATAAGGAATAACGGCTTAAAAAGAAAATGAATGATGAATAAGTAGGGTTTAATCGAGAATAAAGAATTTTACCAAAAAAGAATCGCGTAAAGAAGCGATAGAGATCACGCGCTCGAAACTTGCAATCTTCGTCAAATCTTTGATGTCTTTGATGGTTTTTATGACCTTTCG